CCCACTGCGAGCGCCGGGATTGGGTAGGGAGACGGCCTGCTGCTCGCACGTCATGGCGTTCTGTTCTCTCCTCCCCCACCCCGTTAGCAGGTCATAGCGTTCTGTTCCCTTCCTCGCCCTGCTGCTCGCAAGTCATAGCGTTCTATTCCCTCCTCCTCCTCCCCCGTTCGCACGTCATAGCGTTGTTCCCTGCCTCGCTCTGCTGCTCGCACGTCATAGCTTTCTATTCCCTCCTCCTCCCCCGTTAGCACGTCATAGCGTTCTGTTCCCCCCCCCCCCCCCCCCCCCCCGGGCCCCCGCTTCCCCCGCCCCCTGCTCGCAGGTCACAGCTTTCTATCCCCCCAACCCTTGGCCACCCCAGTGAGGGTGTCCCCTGGGCGATTCCCCTGTGCCCCTGCCTGGTCCTTGCCCAGCCCTTGGGAAGTGTTGTCTGCAAGGGGGTGGCCAGCCAGGCTCTTGGAACCCAATATTCTGCATTCACCCCCAACCAGGTTCCTTTTCTTTTCTTTTTTTCTCCCTCCCTACTAAAGCTGGTTGCTTCAGGCATGGCGGGGGGGGGGGGGTCTCCAGGCCCTGTCCCTGCCAGCACTCCTCTCCCAGACCAGCTTCTTTGTCTCCTCCTTAAAGCGCCCCCAAACTAGACAAAGTCCTCTCTCACCTGAAGCCGGACTGCCATCAGTGGTGTGGTGCCAGAGGTGGCACCAAGTCTCTTCCCAGTGTAGGGGTTGAGGTGGGCTAGACAGAAAAATTGGGGGAGGTGGGGTTGAGGTACACATCTTCCGGCCAAACAAACGTATTCGTTTTTTTTAACAATTCCCGCTTAAACATGTGTTTTATCTATGTTATTGTGGTGGGAGAAATCTCCCTAAGGTTCGTTGTCTAGCTGTAATTTGATTGACAGACAACGCGGGTAAAGAAAGACAGCTGTTTATTTGCTCGAGCAAAGACCATAAAGCCAGCAAAAGGCAAAATGCCCCCCCCCCCCCCCCCCCCCGGGGGGCAGGTGTTTCTTCAACAAGGCGGTGAGGTGATTTTTTATACTTATTATAACAAGGCAAGACTTTATGGTTAACAAGAAAAGCAATACTTGGGCGGTGCTTTTTAAATCGTTGTAACAGCATATTTTTATTAAGCTGAACTAGCACTTTTTAAAAAGCTAAAAGTTAAGTAACAGTAACATTATAATATGTTAGCAAAACCTTATACAGTAGTAGATACTTTTTAAGGACACAACCAGTGCACCCAGAACAATGGTTTCCCTGTCTTATCTTACTTTTTGCTGTAGCTGATTTTTCAGCACACAGACACAGAGATACTTGCTGCTTTTAACTCAGAAAATGCTTAATACAGTTAAAATGATTACTTGACACAAGCAAAGGCTTAGCTATCAATCTGCCTTGTGGTCAGCTGCATTGTTAGGCCACAGGTCATGTCTTGTATTCAGCTGTAAAGCTAATACTTCTTAATAATCTAAATTATTGTAAACCTAACAGTATGCTTATCAGAAAACTATTCTATTTCAGGGTAATAACAAACCTGCGCACTACATTATCCACAAAAGGAGAATAAAAATATATACTGTATGTAGACAGATCAGGCCAGGCTGGGAGTGCTACGCCTCTGCAGGCAGGAGTAGGGCGGGCGGCAGCAGCTCTGAGGGAGGCAGGAGGTTTGGACAGGGGCAGTGCTGGGAGAGATGGCTACTGGGGGGGACTAAGGCAAATTTTAGGGTGGCTATAGCCACCCCCACAGTGCCATCCCTGTGTGGTACTAACCTTTTCAGGGCGGTAGAGTCAGTCCGAATGTGGAGTGGATGTGCTCCCCATGGACACCTCCACACATGCAAGCACGTGCGCTTGCAGCAGCTTAAATAGAAACAGTACAAATTTGAGCCGGGGCTTTTTGTCTCAGCGCACTTTGGACATGGACTTTGAGGAGCAAATTGTGCCACTTGGGGCAAAGTAACCCTGCCTGGTTCCTCCCAAACCTGCAGCCAGGGGGAGCTAGAGCCCCGGGCCAGCACCTGTCCTGGCCCCAGCAATACAAAAAACTGCCCTGGTAAGTAGCTCGGGGCTACTCACTCTCAGGAGCATCTGGGGCCCAGCCAGTTGGTACCTGGGGACACTACCCCTTGTGCCAGCTGGACTGCTGAAGCTGCTCTGAGAGTTCCCTGCACCCTTTACCCACTGAGGCACTCTGGCAGTGGGGGCTGCTGCCTGGCTGTGACGTGCTGCGCACCTGCCAGACCCAGATGGGGATTGCACAGCCAGGAGAGGTAATTCCCTCTGTGCCAGCTGTGGACCGTGGCTGCAGAGTTGGCCTCTGCGGCACTACTGCCAGGTGGGCCCCTGCCCGTCCATCTGGGCAGCTATTGCCTGAAAGATATTTTGGGTGTGGTGGTCTGCTTTGAACTGTTAAAGCATGTCCTCCTGGCCCCAACTTGCCAGATCAGCTCAGCCAGCTGGGTCCAAGGTGCCAGCTCTGAGCAGGCAGGGTCCTGCCACTGGCCTCCCTGGCAGGAATTCTGGTGTTCCCTATTGGAAAACTGAAAAATCCCTGATTTAAAAAAAAAAAAAAAAAA